ATTTCCTTTTCCTTTGGTATAGTAAATTGTTTAAAATTGAAATATTTTTTATAACTTTATTTTTCAATATATATGCTGTTTGCTTTTTGAAGTTCTTTCAGCTCAGACAAAGTAAACTAGTAATGTCAGCTTCACGTTATTTATTATCACATTTTATTTTCAGGTTCTCGTTGCTGTAATATCTGGATTGCTGGAAACTTAAAAACTTTAAAACATTTTGTTTAAATTGGAAATTTATAAACATTTGTCTTGGGCTTACATTTTGTTAAGTCTTTTTCTTACAAAAGCTAAAAGGCTTGCTTGGTTTCCCCATCCCTATACACGTACACAATCTTCATAACCCTTTAAATGCCCTTCTCTGTAAGAGGCCCTTCCTCAATCTTTCCCCGCTTCCAGCTGCAGAAACTCTCCTAGTTTTCTCAGAAGAGTGAGAAGCATTTTTGCTTCCCTTGGAAATGCATAAATGAGCTCTCTATGTGTAAATCACAGCTGAGTTCTCCACAGTTAGCGCATTACAGAAGGACCTTATCTTGCCATCTACATTTCTACAATAACAGTGTGACCTTGTTTTCGTTACATAAAAAAATGTTTTTCATATAATTACTGTGACTTGTTCTCTCACAAGAATCTCGGCTAAAGTTAATCATTGCTGCTTCCATTTTTTTGTGAGCTGGTGGAAGAACACCAACAGAGCAGTCTTTAGGAGTGTCACTGCATATAAGTAGCACTGCTGAGAGCATAACAAAGGTTCTGTTGTGCTCTTCCATAGCAGAGCCAAGAAAAACTCCTAGTGTGACATTTTTAGATATTGGATTTAAAGGGACTCAGTCACATGTAGACTCATTATTTTCCATGTTATTCACATGTTTGCTTTTAAAATACATCTCTTTTTTTTAGGCAATTTTTAATCTACATGGTTGTGAGAAATGCAAGGTAACAATGACTCATACTTGTACGTCTGAATAGTAAAAAAGTTTGTGTTTTAAGACAGAGAATCTTTCCAAGGATTAAATGGTATCTGCATAGAGTTTTTATGAACCTATTTGATGAATCCATCATCAAATATCTTCCAAATTCAATACTGATGGGGCATGAGCCTCCAGCAGCACCTATACTTCAGACAGACTCACTCATGCCAAGATTTTAAAAATTGTCTCAAAGTTAGTTGTCTGTCTAAGGATTTAGGGGTTGAAATGACTTAATTTTTCAAGAGTGATGAACTGGCTAGTTTCCCTTGAGTTCAGTGGGAGCTGCTGGTTGCTCACCATTTCTGAAAATCAAGCCTTCTACTTAGCTGGCTGAATCTTCATTTAGGCACCTAATTCTTAAATTCTTGGCCTCAGGAAGCAGAACTGAGTCAGTACATATATTGTCCAATGTTGCACTTGTATAATGTTGTGACACTTCCCAGGCGTACCCATGGTTGTGAGGCACCTCACTACCATCTGCCCATAGCATGAGAAAGCCTTGTCTGTGTCTGCCTAGAGTCAGCTCCTGGACTCCACTGGCAACAAAAGCACTCCCTTCTTAGCCTGCACAGGCTCTGCTGTCCTTTTGCAGGTTAGCACTAGGTACTCTCCAACCTCCAAGTGTCCCCCTGGAGTGTCCAGCCCCTGTTTTCAATGGACATTCCCAGATTCACTGCTCACAAAGGAACAAAGTCCCTCAGCTTACTAGTTACACCTTAGATCACAGCTACGCTATTAAAGTGGCATAGCACTTAGATATGTTTATAATGGAAGATAAGCAAAAGTTTATTTAACAAAAATAGAGGTTAGAGAAGTAGCAAGTAAAAGTATTGGAAACAAAGTTACATGTAAAATAAAATCGTGTAACATTCTAGAGCCTAGACTTCATTAACAAGATAATTTCCTTTTTAGTGAAGTTTAGCTCACCCAGAGTCTTTGCAGTGTTTTCCAGCTGGGTTGGTTGTGACCTCCTTTCATAAGACAGAACACACTGACAGTTCATCTCCTCAGTGAAGGATCTAGGATGTAACTCAGTACCCCAGTTATACCCCCAAATCCATTGTCTTTACTCATAAACAGGATACCCCACTGCTTTTAGTTTTTTTTTTTTTTCCCTACAGCTCTCAGCTCTTGTATTTTGCTATCTCTTGACTAATATCGGGCTCAGTAATGCAAATAGGCCTCCATTGCAATAAATACAGTGTACAATACACTTGATCAGACAGAGAGAAAGAAGTATATCCTGCCTGCTACCTGTCTGAACTAAATCTGTTCAAGGTCTGTCACCAACTGGTGGCTTACTTTTAACTTCAAGGCTTTAAAAACATAATTTCCAATATAGATGTATAACATCTTAAATGTTACCTGTCCATACATGCAATGACTATGATGACCAGTAAGCTACTGGTTCTTGGTAGACACCTTACATGTCACCCTTTGGTAAATTATTATGCTCAGGCTCAGTAGATCCCTGTAAAACCCCATGCATCCCCTCTGTCAGTTGACATCGAGGTCTCTGGGTCAAACCTCCCTTCTTACACTAATGCAGTAGGATCAGCCCTTGGCTAATCCATATGCATCAGCTTGGAGCCCTCTTGCCTGGACAGTGCAACTGCCACCACATTTTCTTGGCCTTTAATATGTACAATTTTCATCTCGTATTCCTGCACTGCTAGTCTCCAGTGTCTCAGTCTGGAGCTGGTACTTTTTGTTCTGTGTAGCCATACCAACGGAGAGTGGGCTGTTAGGACCCTAAACTTCCTGTTAAATAAGTAAGGCCTTAACTGCTTGACTGCCCACACAATTGCATAACATTCGGTTTCTATGACAGAGGAATTCTGTTCACCAGGGGTCAGGTTTTTACTTAGGAAAGCAATAGGATGCTTTTTATTGTCTTCACCTGCTTGCGTCAGTACGACTCCCAGGCCTGTGTCAGAAGCGGTGGTGCACAGTTCAAAATCTGGTCTGGCCAGAATAGGCTTTAGGATTTTCTTTGCTTTATCACACCCTTTCTGACAGGCTGCTGTGCACAGCACCGTGTTAGGTTTTCTCTTTTTGCACAGGTCTGTGATAGCAGACACCATGTTGCTGAATCCTTCCACAAACTGGTGGTAATAGTTCTCCAAGCCTGTAAAAGACTGAACTTGTGTTTTGATTTCTGGCATAGGCCAGTTAACAGTGAATTCTACTTTCAATAGATCTGGGCAGATCTGTCCCCCCCCCTCTTCCAAATGACCTTCTAGATAGGGGATGTTGGCTGCATCCATTTTACACTTGGACATTTTTACCGTGACGCTAGCATCTTTGAATTTCTTTAGCACAATTCCAAACTGGGTTTTTATGATCTGACCAGGAGTAGCTGAAGATGGTAATGTCATCTATGTAGTCCCAAGCAAAATCCTGTAACCCAGCTGATAAGTGGTTCACAAGCCTTTGAAATGTGGCTCCTGCATTGATTAACCCAAAAGGTAACACCTGAGCTCAAAAAGTCCTGAATTAGTAACACAGGCAGATTTTTTTTTCCCTCTTCACTTCAGTGTTTAAGGAATTTGACAATACTTCTTTGTTAAATTTAGGGTGCTCAGGAACTTTGCCCTGTCTATGGTGTCTAGCATGTTGTTGATCCTGGGTATATGGTATGCATCAGGAACCAAGACAGCCTTAAGCGTTCTGTAATCAACACAAAACCCTTTGTTCCCCTCCTTTTCAGGGACCATAACTAGAGAAGCCCAGGGACTGTTAAACTCTTATTAGTCCCATTTTCAGCATACTTGCTATTTCCTTGCAAACTTTCTCCTGCATTTTACCAGTTGTCTGGTGTGCTCTGCTGGGTGTGGGCTGAGGTCCTTCAATGTTCATAGAATCATAGAATATCAGGGTTGGAAGGGACCTCAGGCGGTCTAGTCCAACCCCCTGCTCAGAGCTGGACCAATTCCCAACTAAATCATCCCAGCCAGGGCTTTGTCAAGCCTGACCTTAAAAACCTCTAAGGAAGGAGATTCCACCACCTCCCGAAGTAACCCATTCCAGTGCTTCACCACCCTCCTAGTGAAAAAGTTTTTCCTAATATCCAACCTAAGCCTCCCCCACTGCAACTTGAGACCATTACTCCTTGTTCTGTCATCTGGTACCACTAATCTCATGGACCGTTTCGTGAGTCAGTCCTGGCCTGCTGGAAAATACCTTTTGATGCCTTTGCAGCACAGCCAAAATCTCTGCCTTTTCAGATGGGGTTATCCCTTCAGATATATCCGTGCTTTCGAGTGAGGTACCACTTTGACAGTGAGTTATCAAATCAGTAAGACGGGGCTGTCTTGGAGTCCTCCTCAGCACAGAGCACTTCATAAACAATAAAGCCTCAAACACTTTACTGAGATGGTTAATTGTCTGCTATTTCATAAATGGGGAAATTGGCGACACACGAGAAGTTAGTGGCAGATTCAGGAATAAAGCCCAGATTCCTAGTCCAGTTTGGTAACCCTCTTCGTACAGAGGGTTCTTACAGTCCTGTATTCTCAAGAAATGAATTGATTGGGGCTGTAAAGTGGAATCGTACTTTCTTCACAGGAGAGTTTGAGGGAAGTCTAAGCCACTGAAATGAGTTTTGCATTTAGCCTGGGATTTTCAAAGAGGCCTAAGGGAGTTAGGTACCTAAATCCGATTGAAATCCCAAAATTGTTATAGTCTGGGATCAGCTCCTGAGAAAGTACTGCCTCCTACGCTCCCAAAGCTCTGCTTAGTGGTCAACATTTTAACTGTGCTGACGGATTGTAATATAATGGTCGCAGAGGGAGAGCGATCTCTCTGGGAGTGTTTAAATACCAGGACACAGACTTTGAACTGGCTCCTTCAACAGGGAGCAAGTGCAGAGGGTGAAGCATGTGATGAGTGATATTTTGTACAACTTGCATGCAGAGTCCCTTGTTTTGTTTGCTACTCACACTGCGCATATGTTTCTGCTGTAATGCTTCGGAGGGTGAGTTGTGTAGTGGCTAGACTGAGAGGGAACTGCCAGGACTCCAGGATTATCCTCTTGGCTCTGCCTCCGACTTGCTGTGTGACCTTGCACAAGTGGTTTTTCCCCATCTGTAAATGGGGGATAATACTGATTCCACAGGGTGTTTTGAGGTTAGTAAAGTACTTTGGGATCCTTGGATAAAAGTGTTACAGAAGGGCATGGTATTAGAGCATGGGAGTTTATAATATGATATTTGTATTACAGTACTGTCTAGAGGCCCAACTGAGTTTGAGGCCCCGTTATGCTAGGCACTGTACAAGCAGACTGTCAGCTCTTTGAGGTAGGGACTATCTTTCTGTCCTCGGTTTGTACAGTGCCTAGCACAGTGGGTCCTGGTCCATAGCTAGCCATACAAGTAACTAATAGTAAGAGACAGTTACTGCGCCAAAGTGCTTACAGGCCAAATAGACAAAGACAATTGACCTACTTGAAATACAATCCGGTCCGTTTTGTTTTCTGTGTTTTTTTTTTTTTTTTTTTTTTTTTTTTGCATTGTAAACTACTCCATTTATAACTTCTGTCACTTGAAAATAAAACAAAGCATAAGTTGTGCATTCTCTTTTTATTTCAGAGGTGGAGCAGAGCTTTTGTTTGATGACGTTAAAAAACATCAGGTGACCTTGCCCTGTCAACCAGAGCCTTGTGAGTATTAGCGCTTTTCAAATAAGTCGAAAGAATGACAGCAAATGAAATGCCTGTGAAAAAGAGAGTCAGTTTGTACAGCAGTTATTCAGTTTACAACTGGAATCAATGTGGTTTAGGGCCGTTTCAGCCATGCTATTATTGATTGGCTAGCTTGGCAGACAATGGTTAACCCTCAAAGTAAATACAAAACATAAATTGGCTGAGCACCTTTTCCATTCTCCAGGCAACCACAAAGTGAGTTCCTTTCTTCAAAGATTTTTGCCCTCCCCTCTGAATATTGTTAATACACAGCAGCCTCTAAATATTTTCATGAAGTATATTCTCCTTGGTCAGTCCATGAAGCTGCCTGTTAGCCAGGTTTATCTGTGCTTATATAGGAATATCACTCTCTTGATTTTAATTTAAAACAACTGAATATACTTAAACCACACAGACAAGCATGACAAAGCTAGGGCTTGAAAATTACACTGGCCTTGCGTGCAGGACATCCTCTTTTCAGTCCTGCATATAATAAAAAACAAAACACTGCTAGACTGAGTGACCAGTGACTGTTCCAGTGATTATACAACATTCATTTATTTCCTTAGTGATTCGGGATATCAACATCATTCTGATTACTAGTTTCCTCCCCTCGACACTTGCCCACACTTCATTTGCATTGTGATTTTTTTTTTTTTTTTTTTTAGCAGCCGATGTATCCAAAACTCTTCGATAGTAAAGCTTTATGCCATTTGAAACCTGGAATTATAAACTTAGAAATGATGTCAAGGATCAATCAACTTTAGCAGTTCATGAGAGATTGGTAGTAAATATAATCTGCATGCTGTGTATTTTAAGGCCTGAGATCTTCCTGCCATGCCTAGAAATATTTAGAGGCCAGTGCAAATGCTTTCAGGACAAGTAAACTTTTGATCCTGAATATAAGCTATATATAATTCAAAAGGAATAGAAGCATTGAGATGGAGGAGGAGGATGTGGTCAAAGACTAGGCCTGGGATTGTGAAGATCTAGGTTCTGTCCTTGAGTCTGACACTGACTTGCTACGTGACATTGAGCAAGTCACTCAACTTCTCTGTCCTGTGTTAAAACGGGGGTACTATTGCCAGACATCGCAAGGGTGTCCAGAGGTTAAATTCTAATGTCTGAAAAGCACTTGATGTCCCTGGATGGAAAGCACTAAAGAAGTGGCAGACTATTAATTTATTTGGATTGTAAACATCTTGGGCTAGGATATTGGGTATTTTTTTTGTTTGTTTGTTTTCAGATGGTGTTTGGCTTAGAATATTTGTTCATAGTCTAACACACTGTCAGTCTTCAGACAACGAACAGGCATTCAGTTAGAAAGGAATTATAAGGTATTCTAATTCTATCTGAGGGTAGTGCAGGGTGCCCCTACCTAGCAGGGATAAGAGCATGAGTCCCTATTTTCTGCAGCCTGATAGATGTCCATCGTGCAGCATACAACATGCAAAAGGCCTAATCCAGCTCCTGTTGAAGCCATTGGGAAGATTTCCATTGACTTCAATGGGAGTTGAATTTAGCCTTTCTAAAACACAACAAAACACAAAAAAAGTTCCCTCCCTGAAGATCTTGCTTACTCAGGCTCTCTTGGTACATGGGACAATGGTTCAGGTGTGGGAAGCTGTGGGCACATCTGGGGTGAGAGCATCATCAGCAGGGTTGGATCAGAAAAACTGTGTGAAGAAGAAATTCTATAAATTGATCATGTTAATAAGGAAAACATTTGGGATTATTAACAATAAACAAGTTAATGCAGCTCTCTCTGGGGAAATGAAAATGTGTTTCTCAGTGGAAAATAAAGAGCACAATCCATCAATCCTAACTCAGGCAAAACTCACCTTGACTTCTCTGGGAGTTTTGACTGAGTAAGGACTACATCATTGGGTCTTGTGTATTTAAAGAATTTAACTCACCATGTTCAGTGTTTCCTGTCTAGTCACTTACTTTATACCATATGTTCATCTCCTAGTGTACTGAAGAAACCATGAATGAACTGAGTACTAGGATCATAATCCCATTTTAACTGATTTTTTTATTAGTTGTCAAGTGTATTTTTGGCCGTTTTGCCATTCCTTACTCTTCCTTTCCTCTTGGGTTATTATTTTTTGTCCCTTTTTTTTGCAGAGCAACTGCTTCTCTCTGGGACATTGGACCCAACTATATTTTAATTGTTTATACATTTTGTACAACACCCAGATGCAGGGGGATGGGGAGCTAGGTGAACAAATAGGGAAGAATGTATAAATGAATAAAATAGTCTGTGCTCCAAATTTGACCTGGCTAGTGCTCTCTGAATTATAAAAATTGGTTTTATGTTTAATTAGTGCAATTATCACATGCAAATCTCCTGAGTCTAGGCACTAGGTGAAAATGTGGTTGGATTCTAAACCCTTTTTCCTCTTGTGTTAACTGGCCAGAGGGGAAGAGGGTCTGGAGGAGGTTAAGGTGGGCAGATGGGAGGGAGCTGCAAATGGGACCACAGAAGGCCATGTATGGAGACATGTGACAGCAGCTGTCTTTGCTATCTGGGGTTTGAAGAGATTTTATCATGTTGCCCCTGAGGAACATATGAAAAAAGGGTTTGTGTGTGGGTGTATGTGTGTGTACGTGTACCCACGTCACCATACTTTATGTGAGACCATATCATATTTTTCTCGGGTGCTGCAGATCTGTGCAGAAAGAAAAGCACAAGTTAAATAAGAACCTTTGTCCCAAAGCTGTGCTGACAATTTTGATAAACTCATTGATAATGCTGATAAAGAGAAACTAAAGGAGCTAGCTCTGTTGACTTTTTCTGCGTAAAAAAACATTGCTAGGTGGGAGAGGACAGCGAAGGAGAGATTTGTCACATGGAGAGAGGATTAAATTGACTCAGAAAGTAAACCTTAATTTCAAGCATCGAAGGTGCTATTAGAAACAATGGAGCATAAAGGAAAGAAACCCTAAATTAAAAACTATGAAAATGTATTTGGCAGCATCCCCCTGAAACAAACCACAGTAACTTATTTAACCTCGTGCTTCGGCAATCAAATAGAGCATTGTATGAATGCTGCTGCTAGTGATGTCTAAGGTCCTTCCTCCATCCCACTTGGGTTTACAGTGCTGGATTTGTCTATGGTCATGAGAATTTAACTGACTGTGTTTAGAAGGATGGGAAAATAACGAGCATCGTTTAACCCCTGCAGCAGAGTCACAGGTTCAAATCCGTGATGTTATGTTGGCTAAGAGTAACTAGAAAGACTCACTGCTGTGCTTTTACCACTGGATCTTGTATGCTCAGGTGAGAGCACTGATTAAAGAGGCTCTGGCTGTTGTGCAAGGAGCTGCTCAACTCTGTATCATAGGCCCTGCACTGCTAACGATCATGAAGATTTTTCCTTTAAGTGGCAGGAGTCTGTTCTTTTGGAGCAAAAGTTCCAAGTGTTGATCGTGTGCTGTAATGACCAATCTGAAGCTTCTAGATTTGTTAGAGTACTTGGCATTCAAAGGTTTGGAAGGATAAAATTGTAATCCATAAATTTCAGTAATCATATATATTCCCCATTTACTCAAAATCTCATAGGGGAAAAATCCATTGTTAATCACAATTTTGAGAGAGGGAAAATTAAAATAATTTGTTGAATTTGACTGTTCATGGCGCTATCTGAGACACAGGAAATGCTCCGAGGGATTTACAGTCCAAGCACCCTGATCCTGCAAGGTGCTGACTGCTCTTCACTTCTGTTGAAATCAGTTGGAATTAGTCACTCAGCACCTCAAAAGAGGGATTCTATCTCTCAGGATAAGGCCCCAAAATATGAACAGAATAGTTCAGATACAGTACACTAGGGGATAGTCTGACCCGAATGTGGTACCTGAGTGCCAGGAAGATAGCTAGAATTGAGTGTACAAGATGGCACCAGTTGTCTAGAAATGCAAAATAATGGTGGTGATAACATTTGGCTGTCAATAAGAAATCAGTATTTGGAATGATTTTTATTGCTGAGTTGATTACTCCTAACTTCTCTCTCAATGTTTTGAAATGAATGTTTAAAATATTTCTGGTAGGGCAAAGTTTTGTCAAAATAAAAACTAAATAATTGTTGACTTAATCCACGGACATTAAAATAAATCGAATCCTTCCAAACCACCTGATATGGCGCTTTCCATCTTCAAAGGAATATGTGAATATTCTCTACCTCTGCGCTTCAGTTTCCCCCCCACCCCCCCATCAATAAATATATACTTCACTAGCCCACTGCGGCGTGGCAAGGAAATGTGACTTACCAGAGAGAGCATCTCATGTTAGTATAAAGGTAGAATTAGAATTTGGGAGTCCTGACTCCAAGACCCCTCTTTCACAAGGCCAGTCTGCACAGCCAAATCTACTATGTCAGGGGGGATCCATATTATGACCCTATCAGGGCACTGTCACGTTAATATTCAGTTTGGGCATTTGACCGGTCCAGATATAAATGGTTGATTGACCAGTCAAATATTTTAAAGCAATGCCTTATTAGAATAATACCAATAGTAACAAAAAAGAGTAAGACTTTGTGGTCTCCAATAGGTTTAGGCTTAGCCTTAGATACTTGTGCCTAATTACAAAAACCGAGTTACTTAATTGAGTTTTTAACTCCAAAAAATGAAATGAAGTTCTAAAAAACGAAAGAATGACACCATGATGCAATAAAAAGGTAGGCCGCTGTCTCTATCAGGGCTTTCTTGTTGGAATGTTTGACAATATTTGACCATGGTCAGTTGACTGGCTTACCAAGCCTCGTTAATATGTCCCAGACAGGGTAGATTGGGTTGTGTGGCTGGGCCCTTTAATCTGTTCTGCCTAGTTGTGCCATCTCCCCATTGAATCACTGGTATGCAGTATTTCCTGGCAGTTGTCCCAGTGAAGTGGGTGTGTCATTTATAAGGGGGCCGATTGAGTGGATTCATTTGTAGTTCTTCAGTATTAGAAGGAAAGATGGAAAAATTAAAATTCT